AATATTACAATAATCGGAAACGAAAGCTAAAAAGCAAAGCAAGGCGGGCATATGGGAAAAGAAAAATCAGTTAGAAACATTACAAGAACTTAGAAAAACTATTGAGAGAACAACTGGAAGCAGAGGAAGGGTATTTGGAAACGATCCTTCTTAACGAAAATAAAAGATGGAGCAAAATTTTTTAAGCACGTGCGAAGGCGCAAGGGAATTTGCGAAGAAATAACTTGGTGGTAGACAAGAAACAAAAAGTAAATATATTTAACCTATTTGAATGAAATCCACGTAAGTGCAAGTTTACCAGATTCGCGCGATCTAAAAAGACAGGTGACATCACATAAATTGGGAAATCAGTATATTCCGAGGGCTAAATGCAGTAAATATTTGGGAATTGTACTAAATGAGGATCTGGGGTGGACAGAACATGTAAATTATGTAGTGAAGAAAGCATGGAAGACATTGCACTTTGTGGTTAGAGTGCTTAGGAAAAGAAGTAGATAATGAAGGGAAGTAGGGTACACATCTCTAGTACGGTCGATATTGGCTCCATATGTTGGGACCCATTTCGTTTAGGGCAAATAAAATCGAAAAAGTACAAAAATATGCAGCAAAATTTGTTAGGAGAGGACGTTCTAATTCTGGGAACTTTAGCAAACACACGTAGAGAGATCGCGACTTTGTGCGCTATTTAAATCAACACGAGATCGTCCGTGGGGGGAAGTGCAGGCAAGATTATCAAAACCCAAATTCGTCGCGCGGAAGGATCGTGGTTCTAAAATTCGGCAAAGAAAACAGAACAGATGCAGGTAAATTCTCATTTGTAAACAGTACAATACAAAATTGAAATTGTCTGCAACAGTACAGGAGACTTTCCATTAGAATGTCAATTTTTTTTTAAATTAAACTAAATATATTGTAATTCTTTTAGAATATGTTAACTTTATTTTTTTACTTGTTAATGTTATTTTATGTCAGCTTTAGCATGATGGTTTAATATACTAAACTTGTGTAAGTAATATGTAAACATTGTAATGTTCCTTTCATTGTTTGTGTTTGGAGTTACTACTTAGAAAACGCTCCCACCGGAAATATTCCATGTATTCGTAAGTAGCAAAATAAATATTATATTTCATTCCATACCGTTGAAATTCAAATACCAAGCGTTTTGGGTATTGTCTAATGAAGTGCAGAAAACGGCTTTTCGGAACTTCAATATATTCTCACGTACAGAATGGGAAGTATTACGTTCACTCAGAAATTGTAGAGAATCTCTCTTCACGCGCATCCGTCTTAAATACTAGAATTGTACCTCAGTCTCTTCAATAATAAGTATTGTTATTTCAATATGTTGAGGTAAATTCGTAGAAAATCTCCCAAGCCCTTGATTGAGTTGGTACCAGTTTATTTAAAACGGCAACATTTAACGTTGATACTACATAATTGATTTCACTTGAACTTCAAAACGGATATTTTGAGTAGAGCGCACGATTTGTTTTCTTCGCATGGCACCGCATCGCCTTTATTTCTGGAAAATGTGCCGCATCCCTCTGGATTATAAAACACTATCAACGAACGCGATAACCAGAATGTTATTAATAATTAATGGCAGACTCAGTACACACTGTAACACAGAATCCCGGACCAATCTGTGGTGCTCCGCCACTGCCTAGCGACAATTCGACCATGAGCAAACAACACAGAATTTCCATCATTTTATTTATAGTGAGACCCAATAATTGAAAGCGCATCGCTGTACTTTTTGAGTGGGCCAATGAATGTATCTCGCCAATGAGCTCTCCATTTGAAATTGAAGAGTGCACCCGACGCGCGCCGCCGGCGAGTGTAATCCTCAGAGTCCCCCACCCGGAAGCCTCACGGAGCTTCGCCAATGCGTCCTAAAACAACATGCACACGTGATGTCAAAGAAATTATATTATATTATTATTATTATTATTTGAGTTTTGTGATCTGATCAATTAATGGAGGCTTCACGTTGACATGATGAGTCACAAGGAAACGATATATGGGAATATATTAGTTAGAGGGGATCTAATTGCGTTATAGATGGCAACAATGAGACATAAAATAAACTATTTACAATAAACTTGAATTGCAGGAAGAACAGATGATCCAAGTCATAAATTATAAACCACAAAAAAAAATTCAGAGAGTTGTCATCTTTTACGCCCGACTCCTTCAAATTCCTTCAAAAAACTCATTTTCACTTTCATACACAAAACATGTAACACATACATTTACAAAACATGTAAAATAAACGGAAATTAAATAAGAAAGTGTCAAAACGGCTAATAACGGTTTTCTTGGAATCGTAAAAATACTGCAAAAGCAGTCGAAATGGCATATCTCTTAGCAACGCAATTTGTTTTAAGTATAGGGAAACATGGTTCTATTCCACTTCGCGTTTTGGCGAGCAACCGCCAGAGAAAGCGGCGTTCGCCCTCCGAGCTGCTTAGTGCAGCCCTATTGCCCTATCGCCCCCCGGGCGACGCCGTCCATTGGGGCAACGTCGTTGGGGGTCACCAACGCATTGCAAGGCGAAAGACGTACTACCGTGTCTGTCTTTCATTAACTGGTTAGTGGCTCCAGGTGCGTCAATCGATAACCACTCCCCTAAGTGTAGCATGGCGAGCTCCGGCACAAACCGGCCTGTCGGCTTGCAGGGTTTACCCCAACCAGGTATCTCCCGCCAGCGGCGCCGCCGCAGCCGGGACACGCTCTGCGCCACCGAATGGTCCCCGACATGGCAGAGAAGTAGTGAAAGTGAGAGTGTGAGTAAGGGGTAAGGAAAGGACAAAGAAGCGAAAGGGAAGATCGCGCGTCATCCGTGGCCCGTTAGTTAGGGTTTTGCTCCGGCATTCGCCTGGTATTGATCGGAGAATTCACTAAAAACTACCGATCAGAGCAGCTGGCCGCTCGAATTCTCGACCACACAGTTGGTGAGTTCGACTTGGCTGGCGAGCTAGTTCCACCGTCATCTGATGGGCCACCTTTGCCGACGCGTGCCTCGACACTCCAAAGAACTATTAAGGGAAGAGTGGACATAGAGATGGAAAGCAACGGTCCCCTCCACAAGGACAGGCTGCGGAAGACGGAGTGATAATGAGGGGATCGATATAGTATCAGAAGTTATAGCAAGTACGAGTCTGGATCTCTGTGGGAATGTTATCTATACTTTGAAACCAGAAACAAAATTCACGATTGAGACCAGAGACAGACAGTGGCTTCACTGAGCGAAGCAGTACTCGGCAGCACGACCCCGTCCAGGTCGGCGAGACAAGAAGTCCTCCCCGGATCTCAGGAGGTGATAAACAAGGCAAAACGGACACAGAAAGACTCAGAATCTTGATTATGCAGACGTGGAAAAATAAATATGCCCAAAATGAATTATTGATATTAGAAGTCTCAAAATAAACATCTGTTAGGCAGACTGTGAAAGACTCAAAACCGGTTGCCGAATGACCGTGACATAAATACCGGCCGAAAATCAATCTTCGCGGCTTGCCTCCAGAGACTTCTGACAAGATCTTGGATAATCTCCCAAACCAAAATTTCAAAACCATGCCTTAGAGGACATTGGCACAGAGACAAAGGGGCCTTGACGCAGGGGCTTGATAATCATTCCAAGCCTAGCCACAGTTGCGTAATGTGAGCCACGCCCACAATACGGCCTGACGGCACCATCACAGAGAGATCGCCTTCCTATCAGCCATCGACAGTACAAACCGCCAAAGATTTGGCCAAAGGAAAGTCAACTAGTATAAAGAATGCCAGTAGGCTGTGTGTTGAGGGGTCGCCTCAATGTCCTGATGTGACCAAAGCGACTGAAATAGAAATCACGGACCGATTACGGACTTCAAACTACAAATTACCTCAGGAAGGGGAATTGAGCAAGAGCGCACATTGCCCAGCTGCAGAAACCGCATGCGCGTGCGGGAAAGTCGCTGGCTCACACAGAGCATCGATCAAGGCAGGTGGTAGGAACCGCGAACCCTAACATCAGGCTAGCGAGCTACACTAACTCACCACCCAAGATCTTGCGGTCGAGAAGGGAACCCCTAGTGTTTGAATTCTCTTGCATATCTCCTCCCAGGAATGAATATTGAAAAAGCTGAAGATCAACTAGAAATTTACTAGCAGAGCAACTAGCAGGAGTGGAGAGAGCAAAGCTGGACGGTAAAGGTAAGAATGAGGACATTCTAGTTCGAGGATGTACATACTGGAGGTTCTATCAGATGTATAAACTTTCATCACAACCATGAAAGTAGTACCTGAGTTAAGACAAATAGGACTAAACATTGACGTAACGATGCTAAATGATGTGACAGACTTTTAGTCCCAGATAGTTTTCCTGAAGATTTTTTTCCTGGGCCAAAATCATGATCAAATCGAGTAAGTCTACCCGCAGAACTGGAAAAACTGCACCGTAATTAACCTTATTTGGGAGATCTTAAAGGTTTTGCCAAAAGACCGGCAAACAACATTAAGCTATAATAAAAGCGATGTACATAGAGATAAATAAATCTTCATAACATCAGTATAATTACATTTATAATATATTTTTTAATCTTATTTATATTCTTTACCAATATTTGTTTAAGCAGTAAACATTGTCTAATTAGATTTGTTTTACTTTGCCCTGGGAGTGTGGAAATTAAATTTTTGATATATGTATCAACATATTTTTAAACAAAATGTACACTGTGTTGTTGCTAGAAGCTTAAGGGTTCCACTTTGCCCCACGTTCCCATACTACAGCTAGAATTTAAATAACAAGGGTTGACTAGTTGAAGGAGTTTAGTACGATTAGCAGAATTTTTTTTTCCGTTTTCTGAATTTTAGTTTTCATAATGTTATGTACTTCAATTCCTCTTCACTTAGTTCTTTCTTCTTGATTATATTCGGCAAAAGATTAGAAATAGAAACTCAGGCGTCCAATCCTTAAGAGAATAATCAATTCGCAAGTGTGGTTAATTACGTTTTTGTATCACGTATAAATTACCGTTATGCCAAGTCCGTAAAACAGGGAATAAATAAGCCCTCGAATGCGGCAAATTCTGATTGGTCCATTGTGTAAATTACCTCGCGGATTAAATCATTTGTATTCCCAAAGGTTCCATGAAAGCATGATGCAGGACAAAAGCTAGGCTCAGATCTCGCCAGTGCCCTAAATCTCACCCAACTCCTCTTTTCGTGGAACTCCATTGAAGTAAATCGTCCGTATTTACCTGAAACAAACAAAAATAAATATTGTTTTAGCAAAAAACGTTTGAAAAAACACTAAAAATGCATTGCCGCCAAACAACTTTGGTGAACCACTTGGAGAAAGGCTAAAGCAGAATAATAATGTAAACAATACCCCCAAACGTTTTAAACCAACTATATAGGATACGTTTGGGACAAAAAAAAATGCAATTTTCAAACCCTACCCCTTCTTCTGCCCTCCATTTTATAAAAATTAGTATTTTTACTTTTCATTCTGCTCTACATACGGTAATCTTTTTTATAACCAGTATTCGATAGAAATAGCTTTCTAAATATTCAGTAATAAGAACAAAAACAATTTAGGAAATTTTGAGCGCAGAATTTTAATTTTCAAACCTATTTAAATCGATAAAATGCACAAAACATGTTTATTTCGAAAACCTTTCAAAGGCGCTAAAACAGAAAAATATATGTCCAAACTAAATAAAATAATTTTTAATTTCTTGTATACTACACACGTAGAAAAGTAATGCTGCAGCAAAGAATTTTTTTGGCAGAAAAATTTGTATTGGGTATCCCTGATGCAGAAGAAGGATTTCTTCTTTTTATATGTTCTAAATTAATTCCTCTAACGTCCTCTATTGTGTAGTCAGGAACTACGATTTGGAGCCCTCGTTACAGAACAATCCCCTGGCGGCAAAATGACTGCTGTCGGAAACTCGCCATATTCCGGGGCACAATTACAATACTTTCTCTTCTTAAGAAGGGGGAAAGGAAAATTCTGATATTTGACGATGGCCACTATTTTTCTTTTTAAAACCCAAATAACAAGAAACGGATGTTTCTCAAGTTTAACAAATACATTTTCGTGTTTAAACGGTTGAAAAATTCAAACTTGGCGAGAAAATTTCCTAAATTATTTTTGTTTTTATTATTGAATACAGATAAAGCGGTTCTTATAATTCACACCTAATGTTATAAAAAGTGTCCCGTGTGCATAGAAAATTGGAATGTAAAATCACACATTTTTTATGCAATGGAGGACAGGAGAGGGGTGGAGTCTGACAATGGGTAAATTGTTCTCTCATCTAAATGTATCAATACTGAATTTCACAATTATTACGTGTCCGTGTTTCTACGTTGCACAACCTTACATATAAAATGGATCTGTTTCCTTTTGAAAAGACTATGAACAATTGCGAGATACGTCAAGATACTTGCTGTCGATTTGCCAACATTCGAAAAATGTAAATATTAAATTAAATATTTATAAAATACAAGTTCATTTCTTGTGGAAAACAATGTTTGTCTGCTTGTGCATCTGTATGTAAAAAGTCGAGTAACCGTAAACTATGCACTAGTTGAAACAATACATTCAAATCAAATGAATATTAATGACAAATTAAGCGATATTTTACTTGTCCACCTTATTGCTACACATGTCATACGACAGAGTTGCAAACACAGAACAAGACTCTTCGTTTCTGTGCCAATTTCACTAACGGGAGAATCGCTGCAGGCGGCTTCCGAGGCGCCGGCGGGGAGGCGACGAGCCGTTTGGCCGAGGGGCTGCTAAGCCAGAGCAACAGCCGAAGCCCCGCCGCCCCCCCCCCTCCACTGCGAAGGCGCTCTGGCCGCTCTACGAACATTCCCTTTAACATCAAACAAGCTCACTGAATGGAATATATTCATCGCTTCTAAAATAAGTTCCAACGGAGAAGAACAATCAGAATATCCAACCCAACCTACGAGTACACGGAACAGTATTTGCACTGAAAGGGTACTGAAGTGCGTAAATCGTACGAAACATCGAGTACGGATCATAGGCGTCGCCACAAGTGTTTCATTATTGTATTAACATGGCATTATTATTATTCTTATTATTATTTAATTAAGTACGTTTAATTATTATTATTTAATCACGTACTTTTTATACCTACATAAATTATACAGATTAATATAATCACAGTAAAAATTATGGTTAAAATTTTGGATCTAATAATGCTGATTGATTTCTTACAAATTTCCTGACGATTTTAGTCGTTGAGATGATTGTAATCTTCTGAATTACCTTCCAAAGATTTTCATAAACCTCAATGAAGGAATTCGAAATTGGTGTCTAAAATGCTCTATTCAAACACGTCAGAACATCGTCTTCGGAAAAACGTAAAAAGCGAGCTCCGCCTGCGCTGTACCCAGCGTAGCTGCCGCCCTCTTGTTTTGGCCCCAACTGCACGGGAGAGTTGAAAGGAATTAGATCTCGTTGGCAGGTGCAGCGATGCGCGTCCCTAATCAACGCCACTTCAATTACCTGATCGTGTTACAACTTTAGGCAGCTCTCCCCCGCTCTGGCCAATCGCTGCAGTATCGTCTTGGCTTGGTCGGTCGACAGACACTTCGCAGGTTTTGTTCATATGCAGTGTCATCTATGTTCCTTTTCTTAGATATTGCTGCCCTTTTATCTGAATGCCAGCTTCTGACGAAATTCAAAATTCTCTTCAAAATCCTGCGAAATTTATTCACCTGAAACCTCATTTTGGAAGTTTATCAAACGTTTTAGTTTAGAATTCCACCATATTAGACATCGTACTTGTACGAACATTAAAGTTTGAAATATGAAACAAACATTTAGCCAATTTGAGAATTCATTTAAATTTTACTGTTTTTGAGAATGTCACGTTCACTTTTTCAAAGAGCACATTTCAATATCTGCATCAAAAGTTAAAGAATTCTAAATTTGATGATCTGTGTGCGTTTCTCAAGAACTGGGACGACAACAACGTCGTATGTTGGAGCGTTGGAAAAGAAAATTAGCGATTTTGTTACACTCTTAGTACGAATGGGGAAAAGTAGAAGAAATAAGGAACGTTTCCTTGATTAAAATGAATGAGTGTCGAATGAAAATCGTGGTGAATGAGGATTTTCTCAGACGGAAACTGCCATAACGACCTGGCCGGCCAATAATCCCCGAAGAGTTAAGACGAAGCGCAGAGACTCTGCTAAGAAAAGGCCAGTAACTGTAAAGGAACTCCTTACTGCCTCGCCAAATAGTTAATAAGAAGTCCACTCCACAAGTCGTTCTTCAATAGATAGATTTATTGTTGCTGCATGTAGGTTTACACGACCTGGTGGCAAAACACTACAATTTACATATTACAATTAGGGATATTAATACATTGTAATTTAAAATTATTTTAGGAACATATTAAGACTAATTTCAATAATATAATAAAGGCAATTTCATGGCTGTCCTGCACAGATATTTTAACTAACAAATACACTTTCTAAATACATTCCACTTCACTTCTCTTTCTACTTCTCTATTGCACTACAGTTCACAACACGTCACGACACTCCAATTTAATTACTACTTTAAATATAATTATGTATTAATAAAGCAATGCATCTTATAGTAATTATCACAATAATAATAAAATAATAACTATTTTAATAAGCTTAACTTACTAATTGATAAAGTTTACAAATATCATTGGTTAATGTACTTTTAATTCTTTGTACACCTAGAGCAGAGGGTTCCATGGCTCTCGCAGCCAACTTATTTCAGACGGTTATTATTCTATTTGAGAAAGAAAATTTTCCAAATTCTCTTCTCTGTGGTCTGAACTGAATTTTGTACTTTTGATCCTCTCTACTAAAGTAAGTGTGTCTATCAAGTCGGATGTAGATATCTTTCCAAGCTGGATAACCGACATATGCTATGTACGGAACACAGATTCTTGCATTAACCCTGATTTCTAGAGACTCCCATTCTACTTTCTTCCTATTGCTTACGAAAGTAAGTTTACACGCTCTTCTCTGCACCCTATTCAAATATTCCTTTTGTGATTTTTTAAAGGGTTTCAACAAATCACTCCGTATGCCATTAATGGACGAACTAGAGTTACAGTAAGCTAATTCTCTCGCTTTCGTAGTATTTTTTTCGTATTCGCAGAGTAAAATACAAAGGCCTTCAGGTTTTCCTTACGACAACGTTCGCCTGATTGACCCAACTCAATTTGTTTTCAAAAAGTATTCCCAGGTACTTACAAGACAAGACTTGAAATATTTTCGTTGCCTAAACGGTATTGAGGTTCACTATATTTAGAAAGTATTATAGTAATCTGCAAATAGTCTTATCTTTCAAAATAAATCGTCTGAAAATAAATTGAATAGCCAGATTTATTACCGAAAAACACCCTTGCGTTAATGCCATACATTTGTCTGGGCGTTAATTTACCTACGAGAGCAAGTTGAACATGTAAATTGTATCGACTTATCACAGTGTTGAGGAATTCAAAGTGGTGTGTTGTCTACAAAGTGTTGTAATAAGAGAAATTTCAGCAGACACCCCTGCGCAGTCGCCCCTTGATCACACAATTTGTCGCTGTGAGAGTGAAACTGAAGGGGACAGCAATAAACTGTATTTTACAAAAAGCAACATGTTCACAATAATAATGGAATGCGGTTGCGGATGAAGGAAAAGCATCGGAACTTCATCTTTCTACAGGGCAACATCCTGAATGGCCCAAGAAGCCAGAAAAACGCACATCGAGCGCTACAGGGAATTATTGGTTAAGAAGATCCTTAGGATAAATATGAATGCGATCTACTGCACAGAATACTCCCTATCCTCAAGTAGCGATTTTCTAGAAATCTAAAAAAGAAAAGAGAATAATGTAATGATGAAATTATTAGATTTCGATGCAGCTACAATGAACGAAGATGATTGTGAAGACTCATCCGATTCTCTTGATACGTTCAGTGGTTCCAAATATTTAAAAAATTCTTTTTCGCTTAAATAATATTATTTTGTGTCTCCCAAGGAGTATCGTTATTGATTGATTAAAGAAAATGGCCTAATGCAAAAATTGAACTGAAAAATGTACAGGAAGTTCGCAAAGAAATTTGAATGTAAGCAACAACTCTATTGATTATATACTGCTCAATGTTCATATTTCCATAACGTAAGACGGGGTGAATAAAGTTTCAACAATATCAAGACTATTTCATGCCTCTCAGAAATTAAACTTCAATCCGAAGTTGAGAAACTTGAAGAAAGAGTAAATGACGAGGAGTCGATCGGAAGGAGGAAGGGGAAGGAGGAAGCCGCGCCTCTGAACCGACGGGAACGGAAATGGAAAAGCGAGCGGGGGTGGGAGGGGGGCGGCGGGCCAGGAGGCGCCCTATCTCCCACTCCGCCTCCTCTTTCCCTCCGCTATTTTTTGCTTCTAATCATAAGTTCCGAAAGTGAGCGACACCACCCACCCAGTAGGAACCGCGAAGATTTTGGCTAGGCGGTGGTACCTCTGATTAAAATAGACGGGGGGGGGGGGCAGTTCAACATTTACATAGGTATACTCTTAAAGAAACGAAAATTCAAAAGTGAAATGCGTACGTCTAATTTTGTGGGTATTCTCGTAAAATATAGTTGAGGCTGTCAATTGCGGCACTTTATATCCAACATTTCCTTTGCTAAATCTGCTGAAAACAGGGCGTGCACATGGCGGAATTGACCACTTATTGTAAACTGTTTGTGGGTGAAGTATTGTAATGTGGGCGATTACTCACACTCACAAAATTAACAAATTAATATCAAAGATTACAATAGCAAGATGTTAGGCACAAAAATAAATAATTGCGATAGCTCCAAAGCAGTTGTGGCGGATGCGCCTGGCACAGAGGGCCCGCGGATTCTCGTACCTGTGAAGCAAATTGACATTGGGCCCCGGTGTAAAACGTCGAGCCCTGCTCCTCCTCGCTGAAGTTTTAAATCGCAGTGAAGAGGATTCAGCGCCCAAATGCTCGACAGAACTAACGCCATTTCACACCGCACTCTATTCCCCTCAATTGGCTACTCCATAAAGTCAATCTAAAGACGAGATATTAGAAGAGGAAGAATACCGATAAACATATTTTGAATTGACCTAAACGGGTACAAGAAAGAAGTTTGCCTTCTATAACACACGTCCTTTTCTAATAAATTAATACAGTAATAGTTGTGGATCACAGTTAATAACAAATGCCACACAAGTTTCAGTTTAGATAAAATAACATTTTTACTCAACTTTCCAAAATATTTCCTAAGACCTGAATATTCCAACAATTTGCTGGAATTTGTCGATTCAGACATCAGACAAATTCAAATCAAAAAAGGTTCACAGACATCAATCAAAAATACCTACTACCTTATCTGCATTGCATTTGTTCTGAAGTCTCGCCGAATTCCTCCTTTGATAGCCTTCCATAGAGTGCATGCGCGCACACATAATTTTCTCAACGAATAAATATTTATTGTCGTGGAGGAGTAGCGAAATATTTCAATTTCCATTCCGCCCACAATCCTCCGCTGATGCATAACGCTCCTCAAGCGGTGCATGTGACACTAACAGTGCGACGACGCAGCGCCAGCCCAAGCGCCGGCTCTTCGCCCCGGACCGCGCCCATGTTTTAAATACTAATTAATTACTCATTAATTATATAAATTTGAAATTAATTACGCCAGCATTTTGTTTAAAAATAGAGGTCAGCTGCTTAACCTGAAGCTACGTAGCCACAAAACCAAATAACACAGAAAATGTCAGAAAATTTTAACAACAATTAATAAATTAACTACTAATTAATTACTCAGTTTTGCGCGTTATTATCAAACGTAATTGTTTAAAAAAATTAAAATTCTACAAAAAGAAAATTTCTGTAAGAAAGTGATGGAAAAAAGTCTTATAACAACATTTTAACGGCAACCGCCAAAATTTCTACCACCACATTGTTTATATCTATAAGCATATATGATTAGTTAGCTTCAGAATTAATATCTGCAGGATTATTGTTTATAAAGAAGCCAGAAAAGTTTACACAGGCTCAATGAAGTACCATCAAATAAAAACTAAAAAATTCACAGTAAATAAACTAACGTTATTTCACTTTAAATGAGGAGAAGGAGTATGATATATTCATGTTATTCAGAACATTGCTATTGTGTTGCTCGTTGAATTTTTGTGTTTTTTCGCCACGATTGGTTAATAATACCTGAGTTCCGAAGCTTAAGTACACGTTTTAATTTACATGATCATAGCATGAATGAATATAATGTTGGCGTACACAAGTTGAATGAACTCCTGAAAAAAACTGGAAGATGAAGAACTGAAAACTGATCAATAATTTAATGCATGCGAACAGAAAAAAACATTATTCTAAATATACCCAAGTATATGAAATAATGTGACAATAGATAAGTTATCATTACCCTACAGAACGTGGAGTATCTAACAGCACTATTCGAAGGAATTAAACTTAAACACATAGTTTGAAAAATACAAGTGATGTTAATGACTCTAATATATAATATTATCTTTCGACGATGATTATCTGTAAGTAAGGGTGACGTTATTCTCCGGAGTTACGCCGTAATAATTTC